GGAAGTGATTGCACAGAAACGGTATGATGATTGGAAATGATTGTACAGAAAAAGACCATCGAGTTCAACGATGCACGAAAACTCAGACATCGATYAAGTGTGCGTTTGAATTGATTGTGATGGAACCAATCAGATCGAGAATTTCCCTGCATATATATTGTATGTGCATAGTTTGTATGTACATATTTGTGTTCTAACAGAAACAAGTTGCGATGCATAAAATWAACCACAACATTACTGCATATATTTCTTCATTTTCAACGGTTAGCATTTTTATCATATATGTATATTATAATCTTTTGCGCAAAGGCGTAGGGTAGGTAGGTTCGAGCTGATGAAAAATTGATTTTATCATTTGCGGAATGCCGCCGGGCAGGTATGTAGCGTACGTTTTCAGCTCTTAAACTCCTTAAATCCTCTATATTGAAAATATAAAAATATAAAGATCCTTTTTTTCAAATATATTTCTTGGAAAAATAAGATGGTAACAAACGGTAAAGGTCCTTTTTTTACAAATGTATTTCTTGGAAAAAGAGGATAAGAAGAAAAGGAGAAAGATCCTTTTTTTTTTAAATGTAAAATATTTCTCGGAAAAATAAAAATTCATATTTTTGGACTACTATACATATAATAATTGTGGCATACATTTTATAAACCAATTAAAATAATAATTTTAAAATGAGCAATGATATATTCCCTATCGAACCACGCTGTATGACCAAAGGGGATGATTGTGATCGAGCTGAATGCAAGCAACATTATCAAACATTCTTCGCTGCTCACACAAGGCATTCGATCGAACAAAATCATTACGAAACAAGCAATACTGATTGGAACTGAATGTTCGCTTTAAGCTCGCTCACTTTAGATCATTCATTTTTGTTGAAGCAARGTTTTCCGTCACAAAAAATCCGAGTCAATGATCGGTTCTGATTGAAAAAATTATGATCGTTGCAGCTCTCTGATACAAACCGAACGCTGTCGATCATTTCAATCATTAAAGCATGAGTGGTGCAAACTCATATTTTCTGCTGACGCGAACGTTCATAAACAAATCCGGTATGAGCTGATCGCTATTGATTCAAATTTGTTCTTTATCGCTGATTTGAAGACAAACGGTGCAATCAGGCAGAGTAACGGATCAGTACTTAGGAATAAACAAAAATTTATTACTCGTTGTAGTTCTCTGGTATGCATCATTTCGGCTATTTTCTGCTAATGCGAACGTTCATAAACAAATCAAGTATGTATAAGTTGAACGCTAGGGATTCAAAGTTGTTCTCTATCGCTGATTTAAAGACAAACGGGCAAAATAGCGATTAATTTTCATTTCAATATGTACATATGTATGTATGTACTAGCGAACCCTGCTAGATATTTTAAGATATTAGGATATTAAACAAAGTACATATGTAATATGTTCAAATAATAATATGTGAACCAATATTTATCTGCAAGTTATGTGGTGGCATTTGTATGTTAATCCAGCGAATTCAAAAAAATCAACAGAATATTTGACTGCTTCGTCAGGATTGGTAACCATGTCGTTCGAATTAAAAAATTTCTCATTGGCGGGCAATTACCGTTGTATTTAAAAGGGTGAATATCGATATTTTTTGCAGCTGAAATAGCTCGTTCACGAAGCAACGCATGATTATTATAAATCAAAAACTTCTATAAGAAGTTAAAAGTCATAGTCAAATGAATTTAATATATTAAGATTATAATTGAGAAACCAGTTTCTGCCTTTCTCACAACTGGCTACTCGATTATAGTTAAGCCGGTAATTGGCTATTGTTTACTCAACACATGTGAACACTGTAAAGAAAATTTTTAAAATATTACTTTAATTATATATTCAAATTGCACTAATACCTAATATAATATTTCAGTACACATATGATTTTTATAATACAAACAATCGAGGTTTTAATTGTTATTCTGAACATGGGGTTTTTGCCTAGTAGCGAGGCTGCGTTGTAGGTGTAAATGCATTATCTTGTTTATTTCTAACAATATGTTAAATTTTAAAAATATATGTTGGCTTATGTAAATTGTTTCTTTACTTCTTTATTCAGTTTGTAGAATTTGTTTTGCTTCACAAGAGCCTGAACTTACTTGTACTACATTTTAGGGTACAAAAACCATATTAATTTTTATATATATATTCACCGTCGAACTGTCATCGTAACCGGTTGCTTTTCGCTCTTTGCTTATTGAGT